ACACACACACATACACACACATACACACATACATACATATATACACACATACACACACATACATACACACACATACATACACACACATACATACATACACACACATACATACACACACATATACATATACACACATACATACATACACACACACACATACACAAGCAGGGTTGTGCTGGGTTGTAGCTCATTTAGTAGAATCTTTGCTCCTTAATCTCCAGCTCCCAGCACCACACAAACAGGCCTAAATGGCACAGGCCCAAAATCCTCACCCTCAGAGGCCACAAGTTTGAGACTGGCCTGATCTATGTAGTAATCTCTGGGCCAGTCCAGGGCTATACAGTAAGATCTGTCAAAGTCCTGTAGTTTCTTACTCAAATCTGACTCCTGGAGGCGAATGAGTTACATTAATTTGCTGTAGGTGTTCTTCCACCCTGTCTCATGAAAACAATAAAACTAAAAAATAAGGCCCTAGTTTTGATTTATAATACCTTGCCCTGCCCCTCCAAGCCAAAAAAGCCATGAAGTGAAATGCATGCTTCCTTCCTTCCTTTCTTTCTTTCTTTCTTTCTTTCTTTCTTTCTTTCTTTCTTTTTTTTTTTTGTTTTTGTTTTTGTTTTTTGTTTTTCGAGACAGGGTTTCTCTGTATAGCCTTGGCTGTTGTGGAACTCACTCTGTAGACCAGACTGGCCTCGAACACAGAAATCCGCCTGCCTCTGCCTCCCAAGTGCTGGGATTAAAGGCATGCACCACCACCGCCCGGCCATGTTTCTTTATATAAGGAAAAATTTTACATTATAGTTTACTGCTGTTTATTGTTATTAGTTCTAGTTTCTAGAATAAAAAATACTTATAAGAGCTTGCAAGGTGACTCAGGGGTTGCTTACCACACAGTCTGAGGATCTGAGAATCTGAGTTCGGGTCCTAGGATCCATGTAAGAAAGCTGGATGAGGTGGTACAAATCTGTAACCCCAGCACTCCTATGGCAAGATGGCTGAACTTCCTGAAAGTTCTTGGGCCAGCTCTCCTGGTGGATACATAGCAGCAGAAGTAATAAGACCCTGCCTTGAGGTTGGTGGAGAAAACTGTCTCCTGTGATAAGTTAACCTCTGACCTCCACATACATGCTGTAACATGCACACACACAATAAATGTATAATTCAAAATTTAAAGGATATAGTAAAAATGGGAAGCTTATTAGCAGACTGTTTGCCTAGCACCCCTGAAGCTCTGGACTCTGTCCTAGCATAACTCCATCATAGAATAAACCAGTGTGATGCAGGCCTGTAGTCTCAGCACTTGGGAGGTCCATGGTCAACCTGGGTTACATAGCCAACCTGAGATACCCAAGACCCTGTCTCCATAAAACGAAAAGGCTGGATGTGTTTGACTATTTTAATCCCAGTATTTGGGAGGCAGAGACAGGTAGGTCTCTGAATTAGAGTCCCAGGCCAGCTACATATAGTGAGACACTGTCTTAAGACAGCAACAGCCAGATATAGTAGCACAGGTCCTTAATTCCAGCACTGGGAAGCAGAGGCAGGAGGATCTCTCTGAGTTCGAGGTCAGCCTGGTCTGCAGAGTGAATTCCAGGACAGTCAGGGCCACACAGAGAAACTCTGTCTCAAAAAGCCAACCAACCAAAACAAAATCAATACTAACCAAACTAAAACAGCAACAACAAAAAACAAACAGGGGTTGGAAAGATAGCTCAGTGGTTAAGAACATTGGTTATAAGCCGGGAAGTGGTGGCGGACGCCTTTAAATCCAGCACTTGGGAGGCAGAGGCAGGTGGATTTCTGAGTTCCAGGACAGCCTGGTCTACAGTACAGAGTGAGTTCCAGGACAGCCAGGGCTATACATAGAAACCCTGTCTGGAAAAACCAAAACAAACAAACAAACAAACAAACAGAACATTGGTTGTTCTTCCAGAGAACCTAGATTTGAATCCCATCCACATAATGGCTCACAGTTACTTGTAAATACTGTTTTAGAGGATCTGACGCAGCTTTCTGACTTTCATAGACACCAGACACAGAAGTGGTGCACAGACATCCATACAAGCAAAATTCTCATACAGATAAAAATGAATCCTAAAAAAATAAAAACAAAACACACAGACCACTTGGTGCTCTTACAGAGGGCCTGGTTTTATTTCAAAGCATCTGCATAGTAGTTTACCACCATCCAAAATTCTGGTCCCAGGGGATTCTGACCTTCTCAGGCACCAAGCATACACATAGTACATATGCATTCTTGCAGGTAAAGCATTCACACATAAAAAACAATAAATAAATCTAATACCACCACCAAGTAGGATTAGGCTGAGTTAGGTGGCCTAACCCTATAATCCCCAGCCATCAGGGCAGGAGGCTAAGGATCACAAGACCAGCCTTGGCTACGTAGCAATTTTAAAGCCAGCCTGGGCTATGTGGGACCCTGTCTTAGAAAAACAACAGCAAAGAATCAAAAGAAAACACAAACAGAACCAGGATTGTTTTATTTTGAATTGTCTCATATATTTTACTTATCAAGGGAAGATTTCTCACAAGGAGTTTGTGACAGTCATAATTTTCTTTTTTATTTATTTTGTGTTTAGAGACAGTCTCAGGTAGCTCAGGCTGATGTCAACCTTGATAAAATAGTTAAGGCTGGCTCTGAGTTCCTGATCCTCCACCTCTCAAGTCCTAGGATTCTTGCATGTGGCACCATGTCTGGCTGGAAGTCTCAGTTTTCTTATTCTGTGTGTGTGTGTGTGTGTGTGTGTGTGTGTGTGTGTGTGTGTGCTTGTGCAAGCCAGTAGCAGACATTTCAGCCAGGCTGGCTTTACCAGTGAGCTCTGGGGATCCCCTTGTCCTGTCCATGTGAGGCCGTGCTTGGTTTTACCTGGATTCTGGGGGAAATTTTTTTTTTTTTTATGTCAAGAATGTTTTGGTGCATGTAAATGTGTACCACATGTGTGTCTAGTGTCCACAAAGGCCGTGAGAAGGTGTCAGATCCCTGGAGCTGGAGTTACAGATGGTTGTGAGCTGCCATGTGGATGCTGGGAACTGCATTTCTGCAATAACAGCCAGTGCTCTTAATCACTGAACTATGACCCCAGCCACTGGTGCTGGGAATCTGAAGCCAGATCCTCATGTTCTACTGAGCTGTCTCCCCAGTCCTTATTTTTAATTTAATTTCTTCATTTGTCATAGCGATAGTAACATAGTCAAATATAAGGACAAGTGATACAAACTTGTAATCCTGGTGACTCAGGAGACTGAGACAAGACTGTAAATCAAGGCCAGTCTTGGCTATGTGAGACTTTGTCTCAAACAAAGAAAGGGAGGAAACAACAGAGTTTAAGAGTGTGTCCTACTCTTGCAGGGACCAGAATTCCATTCCAGAAGCCCACCTTACGTACCTTGCCTATAAATCCAGTTCCAGAGGAACTGGAAGCCTCTGGCCTCTGTAGGTGCCTGGACTCAGGAGCTCATATTCACACAAACTCACCCCCCCACACACACACACACATACACACGGGTCACAGACAAGACAGACTGACACACATATACACACATGGGGGTGCAGGAGACAGGCAGGCAGGCAGGCAGACACACAGAAATCATTACATTTCTTTTAAATGAAATTTTATTTTAAATGATGTGTATGTGTGTGGGTATGTGCATGCAAGTATAAGTGCCTGCAAAGGCCAGGGGTGCCAGAGCCCTTAGATGCAGACTTAGAAGCAGTTGTGAGCCACCGGATGTGGGTGCTGGGAACTGAATTTGGATCCTCTACAAGAGCAATATGAGCTCTTAACTACTGAGCCATTTCTCCAGCTCCTAAAACCGATCTCCCTTCCTTCCTTCCTTCCTTCCTTCCTTCCTTCCTTCCTTCCTTCCTTCTTTTCTTTTTTCTTTCTTTCTCTTTCTTAAGGGATGGGGTTGTGGGTCTATGTTAAAACACTTTCTTAGCTTACTCAATCAAGGCTCTGGGCTCTATCCCTAGTACTAAAAACATAAATCGATAAATAAAAAAACTGAAATCAACGAATAAAGGCAGCCTTCTTTCTTGGGATGTTAGTGTTAAATTTCTATGCATTGGAATTAAAATAGCTACAAAAGGGAAGCAGGCTTGTCAACATTCGCTTGGAATCCCGGCGTTTTGGAAATGGAAACAGAGTAACTACATGGTGTTTGAGGTCAGCCAGTCTGTTTTCAGAGCAATTTCAGGCTAGTAGAACAAGACTGTTTTAAAGAAGGAAGGGAGGAAGGAAAGGAGGGTAGAATGGAGGGAGGAAGGGAGGGAGGGAGGGAGCTGTGGGTAAATATAAAGTTACAAAATGGCCTAGGCATAGTCGTGCATGCCTTTGATCTCAGCACTTGGGAAAGAGGCAGATAGGTCTCCGTGAGTTTCAGGCCAGCCTGGTCTACATTGTCATTACACTCTGATGACTCCTGCCATAAATGTGAAAGGATCTGCTAAATTCAGGACAGCCAGGGCCTCAAAATACCAAGTGGGCAAAAAGTTACAAAATGAAAAAGTGTGGATTTCAAAAAGGCTTCAACAAGATACTTTAATGTGATCACTTAAAAAAAAAAAAGCTAGTGGCCTTGAGATAGATAGATAAATACGAAGCAAGAAAGGTTAGTTGTAGGTCTCTAGACCGTGCCTTCAGTTAGCAGGACTGCCTCCGTGCAGACGTGCAGACAGGAGATAGGTGAGTTGGACTGGAAATGTCTGGGGATAAAGGAATCCGAACTTGTGAAGCTTCTAACCACGCCTTCCTTGACATCATCCCCCTGGCATCTGTTGTTAAACTTAACCCTTCACGGCAACAAACATTTCCTCTAGGAAAAAGAAAGGGGACTACTTTTGTTTGTTTTCCCCGACCCCTCAAACCCACGCGTCTGTGTTAGGTGTGCACATGTTGGGGGCCTCAAGACTGAGGGCAGCAATCTTTACCTTCCTCACTGAGGCAAGGTAGGCTGGTTGAAGCAAAGCCAGCATTGCAGACTCTGGCTCGACAGCTCGCTCCAGGGGTCCCATGCCCCACTGCCACCTTTGGAGCCTAAAGTCACACGCAGGTGGCACACAAGTCACCTGGGATTTGTGGCATTCACAGGAGTGCTTGGCACAATGTCTTTACCCCATGAGCTATCTCCCAGGTGTGTGTGTGGTGTTTGAGACGGGTCTCTCTGTAGCCCAGGCTATCCTTGAACTGAAGGTAACCCTCTGTCCTTATCTCCTGATCCAGGGGTTTTAGGCATGCACCACACTGCCTGGCACAGGACTGTTTTTGATTTGAGATAATTTACCTTCCCCATAGATTTTGCTCACAGGCATGGTGATGTTCATATATAATTCAAGCACTTGGGGAGGTCCAGGCAACAGGCAGTGAGTTCAAGAGTAGCCTCAGCTATGTTCTTAGGTCAAGGGCACTCGAAGCTACATAAAATGTGTCTCAAAAAAAAAATTTTGCCGGGCAGTGGTGGCACACGCCTTTAATCTCAGCACTTGGGAGACAGAGGTAGGCCGATTTTTGAGTTCGAGGCCAGCCTGGTCTACAGAGTGAGTTCTAGGACAGCCAGGGCTACACAGAGAAACCCTGTCTTGAAAAACAAAACAAAAATTATTTCCTGCCCCACATGTGTCTCAGTCCACATAGACTTCCACAGCTGGGCCTGAGTCTGCTCTGTGGGAGGAGTCTTCAGTCTTCTCTCCTGGCTCCTAGGTCAACAGTCATAACCTTTGGCTCTCTTACCTGCTATTGTGTCTTCTTCCTCTTGAGCGAGAAGTGATCTGTTTGCAACAGAGTGCAGGGACCTCTTCTCTCCCACGGTTTGGTGTTTTTGTGGTCGAAGGCTTACCAGGCCAGAGCTCTGTAGAGCTACGCCCCCGTTCCCCTCTCTCTTCCATTTTAGTCCAAACTGGTGCTTCATTGATTATTAAACTTCTTAAGCCAGGGGTGGTGATGCACACCTTTGTGGGCGGTGCCATCCCTGGGCTGCTGGTCCTGGGTTCAATAAGAAAACAGGCTGAGCAAGCCAGAGGAAGCAAGCCAGTAAACAGCACCCCTCATGGCTTCTGCATCAGCTTCTGCCTCCAGCTTCCTGCTCTGTTTTAGCTCTTGTTCTGACTTCCTTTGATGATGAACGGGTGATATGGAAGTGTAAGCGAAATAAACCCTTTCCTCTCCAGCTTACTTTTTGATTATGATGTTTCACTGCAGCAATAGAAATCCTAATTAAGACAAATTGTTAACAGCCTAGTGGGGTATCCTATGACAGACCTGACCATGTCTTTGGGAGGATTGTGGAAGGACTTTGGAACTTTGACCTAGAAAAGCCATTAAGTGTTGAGACCTCAGTGGGAATTTATTGAGGATGGAGGCCTGGCTTGTGAAGTTTCAGAGGGAAGTTTAAAGACTATTAATGAGTTGGGCAGTGGTGGCTCATGCCTTTAATCCCAGCACTTGGGAGGCAGAGGCTGGTGGAGTTCTGAGTTCGAGGCCAGCCTGGTTTACAAAGTGAGTTCCAGGATAGCCAGGACTGTACAGAGAAACCCTGTCTCAGGGGAAAAAAAAAAAAGAAGAAGAAGAAGATTATTAATGGCATTTGCTATTTTGAGTTAGGATTCCGCGGTTCTTGTCAGCTGGGGCCAAAGCGTCAGTTGCAATTAACAAGAGGCCAGCACCACTGAAGTGAAATCTTTGTGTTACTGTGACAATTGGTGCTGGAGCTAAGAAGTTAGCAGTGATTAAGAAGAGGCCAGCATCACTGAGGTGAGATCTGGGGAGTGTTTCCTGAGAGCACAGAGAAGCTGTGTTCCAGAGGCAGCCAAGGTTGTACCTCAAGCTAGCAGTTGGCAATGTGTAAGAGTCACCCAGGTGGTACTGGTTTTCAAGGCATGAAGGGGTCATGAAGAGCAGGTGAGGCTTGGCACTGTGAGAGCCCAGGAGAGGCCGTTGGAGAAGGTGTAGCCTCAGTGGCAATCCAAAGCCCAGAACTGAAGTAGTCATGCTAAGAACTTGAGGCGTGGCACTATGAAGAGAGTCTGTAAGAGGCTATTGGTGAAAGTGCAGCCCAGTTGCAGAGGAAGACCCAGCATTTTGGAGATGCCAGGACAACAAGATGATCACCAAGAACAGCAGCAGCTATGGAATAGAACCTGCCAGAACCGTGGAAGACACGCTGTGTGCTACAGAGGCAGAGCTGGAGAAGTGACCTAAGCCCTTGGAGAAGCCCAGAAGATCATGAGCGGATCCCAAACATTGGACATTAAGTTATTTATATATTGTTTGAGTTTGGTTTTGCTTGGTTCAGATTGTGATTGTGCCTGGGTTCTTCCCTTTTTTTTTTTTTTTTTTTTTTTTGTTTTTGTTTTTGTTTTCGAGACAGGGTTTCTCTGTGTAGCCCTGGCTTTCCTGGAACTCACTCTGTAGACCACGCTGGCCTCAAACTCAGAAATCTGCCTGCCTCTGCCTCCCAAGTGCTGGGATTAAAGGCGTGCACCACCACTGCCCAGCTGGGTTCTTTCCTCTTGAAGAAGGTATTTGATTTTGATTTTTACGAGAGCACACAGCTGAAAAACTTTGAACTTTTAAAAGAGATTTTGGATTTTTAGAGAGATTAGATTTTTTGTTTGTTTACTTGTTTGTTTGTTTGTTTGTTTGATTGGTTGGTTTGATACAATGTCTCTCTGTGTAGCATTGGCTGTTCTGGAACTCTCTGTAGAACAGGCTGGCCTAGAGTTCACAGATACCCGCCTGCCTCTGGCTCCCAAGTGCTGAGATCAAAGGTGTGTGTGTGCCACCACCACCCAGGAGATTGGATATTTTAAAGAAATAGAAATTTTGATGTATTTGTAAAAACTGTGGGACTTTTATCTGTTTATTTTATTTTTTTTTATTCTTTTGATTTATACCTATTGCTGCCTGCCCTCCTACCTCACACTGTCCCTTCCCATATCCTGTTCCCTTCTCCTCTGGGAGAGTGGGGGCTCACTTGGGTATTCCCCATGCCCGAACTTTGGCACCTCAAGTCACTGCAGAGCTAGGCACATCCTGTTCAACTGAGGCCAGACAAGGCAGTCCAGTCAGGGGAGGGTATTCCACAGACAAGCAAGAACTTTAGGGACAGCCCCTGCTCCAGTTGTTCTGGACCCACATAAAGACTGAGCTGCACATCTGCTACATATGTGCAGCCTGTGTATGTTATTTGGTTGGTGGTTCAGTCTCAGAGAGCCCCCAAGGGTCCAGGTTAGTTAACCCTATTGGTCTTCCTGTGGAGTTCCTATCCTCTTCTGGGCCCTCAATCCTCCCAACTCTTCCATAAGAGTCCCTGAGCTCCAACCAATGTTTGGCTGTGGGTCTCTGCATCTGTCTGTTTTTTTAGGCAGCTGCTGGGTGGAGCATCTCAGAGGACAATCATGCTAGGCTCCTGTCAAGTATCCAGCGTGTCAGGGATTGGTGCTTGCCTGTTATGTATGTTTTTATGTGAAATCTTGGGGATGAATAAGAAAGGAAGGGTTGCAGCTTAAGACAATGTGTGTGTCAACTGTACAAGAGGTCAGTCGTACTGTCTGGTTTTATGTGTTGACTTGACACAAGCTACAGTCATCAGGGAGGAAGGAGCCTCCCTTGAGGAAATGCCTCCATGAGATCCAGCTGTAAGGCATTTTCTCAACTACTGATCAATGTGGGAGGGCACAGCCCACTGTGGGTGATGCCATTCCCTGGGCTTGTGGTCCTGGGTTCTATAAGAAGGCTGAACAAGCCATAAGGAGGAAGCCAGTAAGCAGCACCCATCATGGCCTCTGCATCAGCTCCTGCCTCCAGGTTCCTGCCCTGTTTGACTTCCTGTCCTCACTTCCTTTGGTGATGAACAGCAATATGGAAGTGTAAGCCAACTCTTCTCCCCAATTTGCATTTGGTCATGGTGTTTTGTCACAACAATAGAAACCCTGACTAAGACAGGTGGAATGCCACGAAGTGCAAAGGGATGTTGGTTTTTTGTTTGTTTGTTTTTGTTTTTTGTTTTTTTGTTGTTTTTTGTTTTTTTGGTTTGATTTTTTCGAGACAGGGTTTCTCTGTGTAGCCCTGGCTGTCCTGGAACTCACTCTGTAGACCAGGCTAGCCTCGAACTCTCGAACTCAGAAATCCGCCTGCCTCTGCCTCCCAAGTGCTGGGATTAAAGGCGTGCACCACTACTGCTCGGCTGGTTTTGTTTTTTGAAACAAGGTCTCACCCTAGTCCTGGTCTAGGAACAAAGGTTGGTGCTCCTGCCTGAGCCTTGCTGACGTGTGCCAGGGTGTACATTCTTCTCTTTTTTGAATTCTGCTTTTGCGCCGTAGAAAGGATTATTTTTGTTTAGACTCCTCACAACTCTTTCCTCATGTTCCTGTGTTTCCTTCCCCTGTGCTCTTTTTTCATCCGAGTTCCTATTTTGATTTTCTTTTTGTTTTGGTATCTGACATCATAGGTTTTCTTCTAATTATGTCTCATGGTTTGGGGCTGTTTAAGTGGAAGGCATTAAAAGACCAGATGGAAGCATTCTTGGCACGGGAAGTAGTGGGCTTGATTGTAAAGTCATCAAGCTCTGAAGCAGGAGGGAGCGAGAGAGCCCTGAGGGTTGCCTGTGCCAGGCATCTTTGTTGAGTGTGTTAGTTTTTCAGAGAGAGAGGTGGCGCCAGAGACATAGCAGCATGTTTTGGGCTTGGTACTTATTCCTCTCCAGCTGTGCTTGGTGATTATAAATCCGGAATCTCTGCATTCTCCCCAGGGAATAAGCCAGTTCTAACAAACTTAGTCTTGCCTATATTCTCAGCACCCATGAGGCTGAAATAGGAGGACTGCTACAAGTTCAAGGCCAGCCTTGGATACATAGTTAGTTCCATGCTAGCCTGGGCTACAGAGTGATATAAATAATAGCTGGGCATGATGGGACACACTTGCAATCTCATCACTTGAGAGGTGGATACAAAAAAGTCAGCAGTGGCTACGTAGCAAATTTGAAGCCAGTTTGGCCATTACTAGACCTTGTCTAAAAAAAAAAAAAAAAAAAAATCCCAAAACTAGACATTGGAGCTAAGGTTAAGATGTTGGGCTGAGAACGAAGTGGGGGCATATGGACTGGATTGGCCCACAGCTGAAGGGGAGAGGGGAAGAAGCTCTGGCAGTGTCCCGCAGGGATGAGGGTCTTGCTTGGCTCAGCTTGCTTGTTTGGGTTGGTGGTCTCCGTGGCTGAGAACGCAGAGAGGTCTTTTATGGGAGATTAGACAGCGGCTGTGTAGGCTAAGGCCTGCTCCACTGTTTCTCATGGCGGATTTCTCCATGGTCTTAAGCTGTTTATTGTCATGGCAGAAAGTGTCAGGATTACATAGGTATGAACAACCAACCACTCTTGCCTAA